GTACGTGTGTGTGTGTGTGTGTGTGTGTGTGTGTGTGTGTGTGTGTGTGTGTGTGTGTGTGTGCATACTCACATTAAAAATTTTGTTTTACGTGTGAAAAAAAAATAATAAATAACTGACATCAAATTTCTTCCGTTAGATTTTGCGGCACTATTTGTTACACTTTTTATGATTAAAAGATTTCCTCTACAGATACCGATTTGTGTTCGAGAAAATTTCAAAAAATCTATTAAGTATGCAAAAGTTTTTTTTTTGCAGATTTTCCTTTTACTTTTATAATATATAAATCATATAATATATAAATTAGATAAGATTAGATTTTTAATCATATTATTGTTCGGTTTTAACATGTTGCGATATCTCATGGTTCCTGATTTCGGGCAGTTTTTGTAAATTTTGGACTATAATGCTGATCTCATTATTAATCTTTTTTCTTGTTTCCTAATACCGGATACCAATAGGAGACTTATCATATTTATTTAATATACATTTTTTTATTTAAAGCTGCTAGGAATGACTTTATCATACATATTTCATTTATATCTTTGCTGAAGATGATAAAAAAATTGACTGAAATGTTCAAAATTTATTAAAAGAAATTTAAAAAAAAATAACGTTTGCGCCTTTCTTACTGCGCTCAGCTCTTATTATCTTATTCTTTGTTACTGATATTTAGGATTCAATTCTGGTGCCCAAATTAGGAACTCTTGTGCAGATATTTAATTGATAAATGGCGTGCATTATAAATAGAGATTCGTTAATATTTGAAAAATCAAAAAACACTTATTTACCGAGGGAAAAAGTGTGTGTGCTCAGGCTTTAATAAGTACTATATAAAATACGATTTTAATTAGGTTTTGTTTTATATGACCTCTTGCCAGTTCTTGCATAAGTTTCGAATTCGTTTTCGATAAAAGACACATTTTTTTATATTTCAGCTATATCTCGAATGCGTTGTCCAGCTAAATAATTTTACATCGACTAAAATAAGTAATAAACCAAAGGCGCCAAGGCGTCGGATGAATACGCCGCATGTGTAAAAA